CCAGCGCCAACACTGATAGAGGCCACTCTCTGAAGATTAACCTGAAATGTAGGCAAACAGCCATCTCAAAAACACAAGCAATTTAAAAGTGCCCAAAAGTACCATGGGCACTGTGTCCCCAGCCAGAGAACAAGTGCAGACTGTGCTCTTGTGACGCAGCCGTGTTCCCAGCTCCCCGGGGCAGCCATGTGCTCCACAGCTCCCAGCTGCTGGACGAGACCTCAGGGGATGGAGACAGATGCCCAGAAACACTGGGCTCCCCTTCACATCCAGGACACAGGCAGCTGTGGGGCAAGGGGTAGCAATGTATGTATATTGAATTTGTTGTCATGCCGGTTTGTAAAGTCCCACGTCTCAGACCGACATCTGTGGCCTTTGTACATGTGCATTTATTTGGAAACTGCTATTCGCTTATTTTACTTTCTTTTTACACAGTGATTTGTTTAGTACACCCTCTTGAATTAATCACAGTTTAGACTTCCCTGCCAGAATACAAATCTACACACACATTTATACTCCATAAAAAGAGAACACCACTATATTTTACTTTTTCAGCCTTTCTATCACATTAACAAATAGATAGTTTTGGGAAGAAACAAAATTTTTACCTGGAATTGGGAAAGATATCGCATATACTTTGCTGCTTTCGCTTTTATTATTGGTGAAAAGGGGACAGTGGTCTTCTGCTGCCCTTAAATATATGATTGATTTCTTTCAAGCCAAAAGACTACGTGATTGTTATGCTCAGGATTACTTGATCCTTCTGGCGCAGGATCCGTATCAATGAGAGGGTCAAATAACATTAGAGCGATCTGTTGAATAAGTGTTTTCAGAAGCACTCGTCATTGGTCCAATTTTTGTTGGTGTGTTATTGATGTCAGAGTGAGTAGAATTAGACCCACAGTGAAAGCTGGAACTTTCCCCCTAAACCATCACAGCTCAGCATTTAGCTGCAAATGTTTATGCACATTAGTTTATGCGCATTTACCACTGTTCTGCTGTTACTTTCCTTCAGGAAAGCAAGCCATGTCAGCAGCAGCAGAAATACCTGATCCTTCCTGTAAGTTCAAATCTACCTGGAGCTGCACCTCCTTAGGAGTGTGTATATGAAAAATACTTACGCTTTGTGAACAAGGATTAATGAGTCATGAAAAGGAGAACACAGTTATGCCTAATCTTGCTGGGTAAAATATGCAAAACTGTTGAAGCAGCTTTTTATGGCACTCTTCAATCTTAACATAGTGCTGTCACGTTTATCAACTCTGACCCCAAAGAAACCTCAGCCATTTATAACGAGCCGAGTTCTGCTTGCATTTGCTGTAGCGGAAGAGTTGTTCATTTCAGGGGCAATGGGAGTAGGTCCAGTCTAAAGAAATCTATGTCCAGGGGATGAACAAAAGCAATATGGAGCTGCACTGAGAGCTTGCCTTGATTCCAAAATCCTTTGACAGGTGTTGCACCAATGGGCATAGAAAAGCTGATGCAAATGTAAAAAAATAAATAAGCATACATAAAATATACATAAAGAAATAAATAAACATATATAAGCACATAAAATGCCAGTTCATTGCCTCTGGTGTATTTGCTTATCTAAGGCCCTGCACAGCAATCACTGTATGCAATATTACCCACCACCTCTGGCTGGCATGGAGATTCTTCTGTAATAGTGGATGATGATTTTTCCTGAGTTGTACATGTGTTTGTCACAGTTGCTCTCACTATAGCAGTGCATTGTATCTAATTGTGTCTTTAAGCTCAGTGACTGTCTCTTGTTGATTGTAAAAGGGGACAGAAAATACCTGACCTTCCCAGCAGCATTTGGATGCAGCCAGCATACAGACAGCAACAGAAGCCCGTAGCAAAAAGGTAAGGGCCAACTGCCTGTAACTCTGCACCGAGGGTGCCGCATTTGGTGTGTGCTCCTGGGTAGGTGCTGGAGTAGCTGCTGCCAGGACACAGAGATCAAAGCTGAGTCCTAGATCTCATCATGTCAGATGCTCTGTACACCCATATACAGTTAGTCCTTGCTCCAGACGCAAAAGAGGAGAAGGGGCTAAAACATCAACCAAAAAACCCAAGTGGAGTGATTTGCCTAATTTGCCTGATTTTAATAGCAGTATCCCCAAAGGAGGTAATAGAAGACAGAAGAGAAATCAATTCTCACTATCTGGTAACAAACATCTCACCACAACTCTTGAGAACTTTGCCAAAGTACTAAGAATTTTTTTTGTTGTAGTTTTTAGCCATTTTTCTAAAATCCTGATACTGCCAGTGGTTTCATAAGCTCTTTTTCTAATACACGGGCAGGGAGTCCCCTGTACATTTCCCCATGAAGGGAAAAATGTTTGTGCATGTTTGTGTCTAAGACCTCTTCAGTGTAAAAACATACTGGATCCAACTCCAATTCACTGCATTCCAGTAAGAGAACTACTTCCCGGTAAGATGCGATCATGCAACCTGAACACAGATGTGCTAACACAAAACATACGATACATGTATTTCTGCAGCTGCAGGAGTGCATCTCACCAGGCTGGCTCCCCTCTGCCATCCCTCTGAAACTGAGACACTACAAAGGTGAGTATGTCAGGTAGTTGGTGTTAGGAATGGGTTTTGTTAGCAGGGAGTGGGGGGAAGAAGACAACTACTCATGGTAAACTGGATCAAGATCGAGAGGCAATTCCTCTTGAATGCCCCACACAGCTCTGACCTGGAACAGTGGCATTTGCTGATGAGAAAGGAGCTTTCCTGTTCAGGCCCCCAGTTTGCATAATTTTTCAGTTTATCTCTGGAGAACTTTCCTGTTAGACAAGATGGAAAATGTTCTTCTAAATAACTGTTCCTCAGAGGAGGGGAAGCCTGAGAAGGCCACAACAATCAAAGGTGTGTCTTCCCAGCTGGGTGAGGGCTGATTTTGGCATAGGCAGGTGCATCCAGCACTGTGCTCACTCTGTCTGCCTCATGTTAGTGATGTCTCATCTGCACTTTACACACCCAGAATTACAACTACCTTAGAGAGGGTGTGTTGGATGGGTTCAAGCATGAGCCATGGGGGCCTCCCAAAGGCTCTCATAGCTGTTGAAATTCTTTGACTGCACCAAAAAAATACACGCATCTTTCCTTCTCGGGATGCTCCTAAATCACTCCTATCACTCCTGTTTGAAGAACCATTCTCTTCTTTCCCCACCTTGCAATTGGGACAACATTGCTGAGAGCTGAACACCCTAGGGCCTCTTCCACTGCCTAGAGACAGGTGGGAGGGTGGGCTGTAGCAGCAACACTCATTCTTGTGCCTGCTTGCAGCTATGCAAGCTTAACAGCTGTCAGCACTTCCCTTTGGCTTACCTGGGGATTGATTTAATGTTAATTTGGCATCAGCTTTAATCAGGTGCTCACTAGCACTTCAGTAATTTGGGGCTTCCCTCCTCTTCACACATTTTGCACGCCACTGCAATTCAGAGCCAAGAGCACAGGCATTCAAGCACAAGAGATTATTAAAGAGAATGCTTTTTTTTTGGTGGTGGTTTCATGTGAAAGAGGTTTTACACAAATTATGGCTGCTGCAGTTAATAGTGGTAAGTCTCTACTATTACAATTTATAGTAAACCAGGTGAGTATGGAATGCTGCCCTAGTAAGGGCAATGCCAACAGTAACGCAAAGTAGTTGATGTGAAAGTAACTCTGTTACTACTATTATTATGGGATAGTACTGTACGGAAAGCTGAAAAAATACAAAGTAGTAGCTTGGAGTTTTGCTTGCAAAGTAAAAATCAGTATTTCATGCCTTATTGTCATTTGCGCTAGAGGCTCCCCTGGGAGCACAGGAGGGGTTAGACGGCATTTTGGTGCTACACAACTGCAGGAGGCCAGAGTGAAGTGAGCTGCCACCTAAGCCATGCAGGGGTCACCCCATCCAAAGCACCCTGGAGAGGGGGAAACATGTTAAGGGGTATCAACAGCCAAAACCATTTTGACTTTGCTCTAATGAGTATAGCTATTACAGAATTTAAGAATTAACAGAGAAATTTCCCTCTTCAAAATTAAACAATAGCTATAGATACAAGACTGCACTTGTCCCTTGAGAGGACAAATCTGGAATTTTTAATAGCAGCATTAATTACAACATTATAGTGGATAAACAGGTATTTTCTTCTACTAAACTTTGGATGTAAGCAATACAGAAACGCAAACATACGTTACACACTCAAAGTTGTTTGCTTTGGTTTTTTTCTTATTCCTGTGGTATCACTAACCACAACAGTGTATTAGATCAATTTGCATGGACCAATCCCAATTACAGAGAAATGCTGAAGCATTAAACGGTCTGTTCAGAGAACACACTTCTCACGTGTCAGTCACCAAACACAGGATTATTCTTTCCCCCAGCGCAACTGCAGTTTAAGAAGAAAAACTGCACACTACACCATTAACTTCCTACAAAATACAAAGGATGAGGACTTTTGCTTGATTGTTGTATTTCCCCTCCATAAGTTATGAAGATATCTTTCAAAAAGGGATCAAAAAATAATGTTGTACAACATATGTTCAACTTATAAACACATAAAAATCTGTGGCAGAGTACCAAACAGTATTAATACAGTAGTAGTTTTATTTACATCATCAGTATGGGTTATCAAACTTTTTACATGTACACTTCAGTCTCTTCTTTCAGAAGGGCCAAGCTTCCAAACAGCAACTGGTTTTGAAGGTATGAATTTTAATAAAACCTTCAAATGCTGACAACTTATCAAGTGCGTACTAAGAAAACACACTGTACAATTGCAAAGTAAATTAAAATGTGTAAAAAATAAAAATAACTTAAGAGTGACACTGCTTACCTACAGTCTCTTTCAAACTGATTTCAGTCATTTATCATTCTCTTTTTATCAATATAGATTACTTCATGGCTCAGGAGAGGCAGGGAATAGCTTGTAAATTTAGTATTCAGCTCAGGTCTGATCCTGCAAAGTTAAGAGGAAGCTGAGGAGAGCTGTCTCAATGCTGACACAGCATGTTTAGACTTGGCCTCCTAGCCCACCTAAGTAGCTAAAGCAGTGCTTTTGTGCAGACCATACTCTCTTTAGCAAAGGCCTTTGTAGCCTATTAATCTATTCAGGCAAGTCGGTGGTTGATATTTTGTTGTACTCAGTCACTATCATATTCCTCTATGTTTAATTCATCTTCCTCCATGACTGCTTGAGCTGCAACAGGCTGAGGCTGACTGCAAGGGAGTTCACTTCCACTGCACTGGCTAGAAGAGAGAGAGAATCCATCCGATTCATCCATTCTGGTTTTCTCCATCTGTACAGCTGTCTCCATAGCATGCACATCAGCACGGTCCCCCTCAGAGCTAACAAATAAGTCTGGTATCCCAGGATCTTTGTCAGTAAGTGTTTCAAGCTTTAACCTGTAAAATTATCATTGCAACAGTAAGTTACCACAAAAAAAACCCAAAACAAACAAAAAAAACCCACACACATCTCCTGTTCTCACACACAAAGCTGCAATAGAAAAGACTGCCCATTTACCACACAAGTCACTCCCCCTTCACTGATTCTCAACAGCTTTCACATCTTCTGGCAGTAATACCCTCCATCAATCACAGTTCGTTCAAGCTATACGTGTTCTGCGCTTACATCACTACCTTCAGTATTATGTTTCTACAGCTCTGTGTGCGTCTTCCAGGTACAAATACTTGTGCCCAGAACTCAGTATCGTACAGCTTACATGACAGCCTACAGAAGACACAGGAGTTCCTCTCGGAAAAGGACTGCCCTACATAGCCTCAAACCACAGCAACAGCAAAATACCAGATCGTGTTTGTGCTCCGTCACTGCCCCAGTACCCGTTGTTGCTTGAAGTTTCTTCCTTACAGTGACAGTGGTTTTGCTTAGCTTTTCTCATATACATGAACTGCTAACAGTTAAGTTACTGCCAACACCCCATGGTACATTAGATCCTTTCCAAGCAAAACCAAAGAAACCAAAATCCTTTAGGACAGGAAGCAACTTGACTTGAAACAAGCAAATTAAAAAAAAAAAAAAAAAAAAAAAAAAGGAGTGGAAAGGAAATCTTTTTATGTTTTATAATTTCCTTTACTATGTGGACTTCTCAATCTTTCTAGCATCTCTATACGAGTATGTGACCAATTTTCCTTTATTATTTTTCCCACTTTACATGGGAATCATAAAAAACTTAGTTACTGACAAAAACTCATTGTGACACCAATTCAAGCTGATCAAATATCATGTAATCTCCTCAATGCCAATTTTCTTACTACAGTACCATTCCAATTCCATTAATAAATATAACGGAAAATAAATAAAATATTCTTATTTATATTAAAACAGCTGCACATTAAGTTATTTTAAGGACTGCTTAATAACACAAAATAAACTATTTTCAGTTAGGATTCCAGCAGGAAGCAAACACTTACTGGAATACCTACATTTCTCTAGACTTCCTTTCCAAGATAGCGAACAAATGAAAAAGGATTACCATGTTTTCAGGAGAAAGTTATCCCTCAGATAAAACTCTAAATGACACACACCCAATTTATTAATGCAGATACAAAATGTTTATCAATATTTAAAGGTATGCTGCAGACAAAAGTAATGGCATAAGGAAGTCTACAATTAATTTGTAAAGTTACAAACATTTTGGCTTAGACTAGGGAGATTACAAAGAAATACACCCATTAGGGACACTTCTCTTTCTTCCTGATTAGCAACCAAAACGGCTTTTAACACAAGTGTTGGGGAACAGGGTGGTTCTTGGGTAATACAGCCTTTACCTTACAGGTCAGTATTTCGTAGTTAAACTCAGAGAGCAATACCACAGTGGTAAATACGAAATGTTTTGTCAGATGCCCTAACAAACTCTCTCTCGGTTAAGAGATGAAAGACTTAGTCTGATTCCAGCTAACTGTGATCTTGATCCTTTATTAGAAAAAGACCATCACAATTAAAACTCTTTTTTTTTTTTTAATTTCAGACATATCAAAGTTATAGAAATGTACCTGAGGCTCTACTAGTAGAAATGATGCCTACGAATCAGAAGGCTCACTGGAGTCATAATGTAACATGTCATGCCATGTCACCCCATGAGCGCTACACAATCTGTAAGTAGAACACTAGTCTCACAGATGAAATAAACAGTATTTTCTCAGTATTTAACATCTAAAACAGAGGAACTTCAGAAGCTATAGTTTCATTAAAAAATCCATTCTATACAAAGGTTTACTCCAAATAGTCTGATAGGCAAAAATTCCACAAAATAAAAAGCAGTGCTGCTATACAGTTTCAGAGGAAGCACTTGTTAAAATATTTTGTAGTTCCATAGATGTATAACTGCTTCAAAGGAAATAAGAATAATTCCCCATTATACTTCCTTTCTTACACCTCTAACTAACACGCATGTGAACACACAATGTTCTATCAAACTTCCAGATTAATGTTTTAGGTCATGATAAACAATAGGCAAAGCACACTGTATCTTTGCAACAATTCAGTTTTATTCTCATGTAAATGTTTTGAATTGTAAAAAAATATTTTATTCAGATCATGCACAGGAGAAACATATATATGTCTAGGACAGAGCTAATATCTGATACAATAGAAAAGAAAGCTAGACAAGGATTAAAAGCAAGACTAGTTAAAATGTTGCTACTAACATTGTAATGATAAATAGATTTGAACTAGAAAAAGTTTTAACAGGCAAAATACAAAATTTTCATGCTCGAAGTGAGGGAAAGTGTCACATCACAGATGTACACTGAAGATGTTTCTCTATAAAAGAGTTCTTTTCCTCAGTATGTTAAGAAAGAAAGAAAGTCTTGTTTTCTTTAAGGAAAGACAGAAGTCAAGTTTACCTCCCAAAATGTCTTTTCAGCGGTAGCCTCCCAACATCTTGGATAAAAGCAATCTGAGCTGAGAACAAAGAATCACCAGTATCATATTGGGTAGATCATAATGCACATACAATTAAACATACTGGAAAATAAATAATCCATAAGTTTAGCCAAGTATTCCTGTATATATTTGCAGTATTTTGGATACCAAAACACTGTGCATGTGTATGTATTTTTTTTCCCAAACTGTTTACCACATTACCATATTTCCAGATTGTCTACACAAAAAAAAAATCCCTGACATTCATCAACTGTGTATTTATGATGTACAGTTGTTATTCCATAGCCTACAAAATGAATTCATCCTGATGTCAAGGCCTTAGTTAAGACATGAAGCCTTTTATTAGAAGTAATTAACAGAGCATAAGCGACCCAGCTGTCTAAACAGTAATTTTTGGATTACGTACCATACAAAGTAAATTTTTCCGCATTAAGTGTCTGCTATCGGATTACCTGAGGTTATACATTTTTTTAATACACTGCAAACTTGGATTTTGTTTACTTTATCTGGGAAAAGCTTTCTAAAGCCTTTTAAGTCTGTTGATGTTACTGGAAAGGGATCAGTAAACAATGAAGATCTAGTTAATACTGCCTACTAGATTTCCAGAAGTCTTCTCACCAAATCCTCTAGTAGATTTAAAAGAAGCCCTAAGCCTGAGAGAACAACTTAATTAGTGAAGTTCGATAAATAACTAATGAATAGGAAATGGGGAGAAGGGTATGAGGTAATAGTTAACTCTTGCAGTGGAAAAAAGTTGCCAATAATAGTTCTGCAGAGATCTGTGCTAGGACCTGGGCTATCCAGTACATTCTTAAATGTAACCCTGTGAAAAAAAGGGGATGAAGAGCAAGATGAGCAAGTTTGTCCATGCCACCCAGTTAGATAGGCTAGTAAGGAAGCGGGCAGATAGAAAAACTGTGCAAGGACCTTAAGAGACTGAGTGAGAGGGCAACATGATGAAATTCAGAAGTACACAGATACCAGAAATCCATGCAGTAATAAAAGGGAAAAATTATTTCCAATACTCCAACATGAGGACCCCATCTTACACGTTTATAAAGCAGCACATAAGCCTCACTTCTGCCAAGAGAGATACTTATTTTAATTCTTTCAGTTACGTAAGTTTTAAAAAAGTTCTTGATGTTGTTTCAAACCTAACAGAACAGCTTTAATTTTGGCGATGTTACTAGAAACATTTTTGGATACCAGCTATATGCATTTACTCTAAGTATTTTTTTTAACTGAGGCAAAAGCACAGATAGTATTGACATTTTGGGTTACAAAATTTTTCAGTATGCTTTAATTACAAAAAAGAGTCCAAGATCAAGAGTTACACCCATCTTACCTTGGTTTCTCATTGGATTTGCTAACATAGCAAGATAAGGCAGTAGCTCTGTCTGAACACACTCGGGTGGTAAGCAGAAGCTTGAAAAGAGAGATTTTGCAGCAAGGCAGTTTTCTTGATACTGTAAGAATTGGGGCAAAAAGAAACACAAGTAAAAAAACTGGTAAATCATTATTAATGTAGATATTCTGTACCGTAAAAGACAAACTTTCTTCTTGCCTGCTGGATGACTACACACAAGCTACTGAAAAATGAGACCAGAAAAAGAGGTAAGCAGTTAGAGTAAACATATACAGATCATAAAAATGGTAAATTCCTTCATTTTTGCCTTTTGCTGGGCATTGCAATTTCCATAAAATATTTATCCCTTGATTACAGAATCCCCCACCCATCTAGGCCAGTATTTTTTGCCAGATACAGCAAGAGAAGCATTAGTTCAAATGTAAAAAATTGCCAAGAGCTTACGTGTCTCATGAACAAGCTATTTCTGATAAACACATAAAACATAACACCAGTAATTTTTTGAACTTACAAAACAGTTTAATGTGATTTAAACTGCACAAAACCTTAAAACTTACTTTTAGGAATACTTTATAGTATTTCAACACTAATTGTGTCTCCATTAATTTACAATTAAGACTCTCCCAGCACTATGCCAACTTGGACACAGGAATCAGACTTTGTCAGAGGCCTCCAATTTATTTTTCCATTAAAGGAGTAATACAAATGTAACTCTTCAAGCAAGTGCTTTTTAGATGTAGCTTATATCAAAATAGGTATTTGACAAATTTAGCACTGTGACCAAATCTCATCTATACTACTCAATTGTCATACCTTACCAAAAAAAAAAAAAAAAAAAAACAAACCCAAACCCAAAATGAACAAACAAAACCCCCAAGCATTTACCTTTTTATTGATAAAGAACCACTGGGGTTTATGTAAAGGCCGGAACCCCATCCCTCCTTGGTGGTGAGCAAAGGCTCTGGACGTATTTGAATGTATCACCCCTCGGGTAGCCACAGATGCACTGTATTTTTCCATCACAAGCCGTGTCTAAGAGAGAAATCGAGCATTATGTGAACTCAAGGTCTCTGTACAGTGTGTCTCACTTGAACTAAAACACACTCTGTAATTGCAGTGGCACGACATGCCCAGGATACGTTTAGATTACTGTGAAACTTTTACTCAAAGCAGCTGAATGAAAAAGCTAGCTCAGTTACTTCAGGGGAAAAGGCATACAGACTCCAACACATTTTTAACATCAATATGTTCTACCTAAAAATACTTTGTAGAGTATTTTACAAACAGTATAACACACTACAATAAAATACTGAGAGAAGTTGGACAAAAAGTTGGACCTGCATGTGTTCTATAGTTGATGTACTTCAGCATTAACAATTCATTGTTATCTATACTGTAAGCTTGAAATGATATAGCTTAATTCCTATTGAATTGTAAAAAAATTGCTTTCTACCATTCATAAACACTTAGAGAAAAATGCAGAAGCTCAATGTCAGAGTACTAAAAAGAAAACAAAGTATGTGTGTATAAAAAGATGACACTTACACTCCAATTACTACAAAGGACATCAGCAGTGCTCAAATATTCACTGGCTCTTACTACATCATCTATATCAGTAAAAAAGTCTACATAGTTCTGGTGAAGGTATAAATTAAACATGCTTCCAGACATATGCGATTTTTCCACAATATCCTATTAGGAAAAAAAAAAATTCAAGTTTTACACAGTGTATAAAGAAAAGCATCCTATAAAAGTTGTGATACATTTAGATGGTTAGGGAGCTGGCACATGTGATCTACGAAGTGATGCTTATATACAACAGGGAGGTTGGTTTGCTCCCAGAGAAGGCTAATGGTGGGGATTGAGGGGCAGAAGCCATCGCTGTCTTCAACTCTCTTAATGAGTTGTAACAGAAAGGTGAACTCTGACTCCTCTTGGCAGTGCACAGCAAAAGAATGAGAGGTAACAATCACAGGCTGCAGCAAGGGGAAGTCCACCTTCCACTACAAGTCCACCAGTGAGGTGAGAGAATCTCTACCCCTGGAGAGACTCAAAACTCCACAGATCAAGAGCCTGGGAACCTAATCTACCTTTGAAGTTAGCCACCAGAGCTCCCTTCTAGATTAATTATTCTGTAACTTAGACAGATTGAGTACACATATATTAAGATCAGTGACAAAACCACTGTGCTTGAGAATTTGCATCAATCACTTAAGAGTTTGTTTTGGTTTTTTTTCAAACCAAACTGGAATCAAGTAGTTACTGCAGATGTACCTCAGGCTGAATAAGCAAGGTGTCTCGACGGTAGTCTGATAAGTGAGCAGGCAGTTGAGGAAATTCTGATTCTGACGCTGGTTCTCCTACAAAGGATTTTACAGTCTTTAGTCTTTCAGTATCAGAAATGTTGTTACATTTCTGCACATAATCAGAAAAGCCAGAAGACACACATTTCAGATTTAATATTCAAAATTAGAATAAAAATTATATAGGAGCATGAACAGAGATGTGTAACTGCATAAATAGTAGTTTTCACATATATTTAGCATCATTTTTAGCAACTGTCGTCTCTACCAGCAACTAGATTATACCATTTTCAGCACCCAGAAAGCTCTTTATGCAGGCACAAGTACATAATTATATAGTCAATATTATACAGCTAACTACACATAATTAGTTACATTACACATCATATAAGATATTTAATCTAATTATTTTCATATTCCCTCATCTTACTGTTTCTCCTCAGCTGATTTTGGAACTGACATTGTGAACTATTCCTGAAATGTGGACAGCCAATGGCATTCTGGATCCTGATTTAGCTGAGTGCAGATAGTACTCGTTTAGTAAGTACCAAATGCTTATGAATTATAGTTTTTAAATGTTAAAAAACCCAGTACTGTAACCACACACAGGGAGCAGATAAGTTCTGTAAATTTACAGAGCCTGAGTGTCTAAAAAGTAGAATTTTTCAGTAGTAGTAAGGTGGAAAGTATTTTGGAGAGGTGGAAAGGGAGACAGGGTGTGACAGCATAGTGGAAGAGGTTTTCAAGTCAGAAAGGAGAGAGCACGTATGTCTGTTAAAGGGAAAGAAAGTGTTGAGATAAACAGTAGGAAGGAAAAGACAGCAGAAGGAGCCAAACCCATATACACAAATAATGGAAGCAGTAGCTATGAGACTGCAGGGCTGTTCTGTAACCTTTAGGAATACAGACAAGTACAGAAGGTAACTGTACAACAACATATAATTCTGCACAAAAGCGCAATTTGCTTTTGTACAAAGCAATAAATGTGTTTGCTATCTATCTAGCTTTGTGTGCATGACAGCATGTGGACCTAGTGCATCCAGAGTTAATGTAATTTTATTACATACATGCAGTACATCCTAATGAAACATTTATTTACCTAATACAGACAGCTGCAATCTCAGTTACCACAAACTTTTATTACTGTTTTTCTGCTGTTATTAATGACCAAATGTGCAAATTAGAGCTCACCCTAAGCCTTACTTTAGCAAATTAGCAGTTAGCAGCTGACATGCTTTGCCCATTGAAAGGAAGAACAAGTCAAAGTTTTCTTACTTTTGCAGTAAATTATTTTCCCCAGAGCATGGAAAAGAAAGATGGAAGCATCTTTGCCACCAATAGCTTGTATCTCCTGGTCTTCTGAAGTATCAGATTTACTTTTCTTTCTTAGTTTAGATACTGCTGCCGCTTCACATTTTAGTGTGGAGCTCCTCTTCTTCCTTGACCAAAACTCTTTCTCCAATGAGCAGTCTATCAGTAACAGCAAAAATGCAATCAGGATAAAGTACATTAATCCAAAAAAGTTTTCTATCATATTGCTACTGCTAATGTTCTAAACAAATTAAAAAAAAAAACAAAACAAAAAAACCCCAGAAGAGGTTATATAAATAGGGGCACTAAGAGAAAACTCATTTATTAGGAAGACCACCCAGTCACCTAAACTAGCATGCTTCATTCCACTTCTATCCCTTAAGCCAGAGCTAAGGTGCCAAGAACTTTTTTGAATAATAAATATCTGTCGTGAAAAAAAGCTAGCATTCTTGCTTATTCATTCTAGTTCTGATGCACCCCCAATTTGCCATTCTTAAAAATTTCTTCTTTACAAAGTAAAACTGCAAATATATGTGGATTGTATTTCATTCTGTTCACTTATCAATTTATCTTCTATTTGAATTATCTGTATAATACCCTCACTGAAATACAAGGCAGCAAAGAAAACCTTTCATTTAGGTGATGAACAGTAGGCTTCCAACAGCCTACTAATTTCTACAATGTTCTGAACTCCAAGGAATAAAACCCTTCTTCTACTCTATTTTGAAACTCAAAAATTCTCAAGCACAATTTGATTTTGTGTTAGGTGAATGTTCCTTATCAAGCTAAGAGAACTTATCCTTTAAGTATTTATCTTTCTTTTCTCCCACAATTACCATGGACCCATTTTACTTGTTAATACTACTACAAAGTGAATGTATCGCTTGTGTTTACATATATACACAAGTGAAATAAATTATACGTACGTAAAAACAAATACTGCATTCTCAGGAGATCAGCAAGGAGGTGAGGTGTCTCCAAAATCTACAAAATATCACTGGCTGCCAATCATTTATCTAACTGAAATACCTGAACAACTAAAAAATTTCTATTCAAGATGAAGGCAGCTACTCTCAGTTTTAGAATCTCAAATCTGCGAGAAGAGAATGTTCAGTGTGGTATGGCTTGAGTACATGATTCTGAGATGTCATGTACAGAAGCTGTCAAGCCATGTGCCTTTGCTTTCTCCCAAGTTCTCTTTATAACTCTCATGTTTTTACATTTCCAAGGTAATTTATTAAAACTTAACACAAACTGGTCATTTTAAGACCATTTAGATTTTCTGCAGTATGTAGAAGCTACTTAGCATCCAGCAGTGAGCTACTGCAAACTTTTCTCAGGTATCACCAACCTACTAGTTATTAACTTAATGGCATTATCATCAAAATGGTTTTACTGAGAAGAATTTTATATTTTCCTGATTAACACAGAACAATACAAACTTAGTATACTAGAAGACATCAGAAGAATTTAGTTTCCAAGTTTGCAAATTAAACCTAGAAACCTGACTCTCTCCCTCTGGTAATTTAACAAAACACAGCTAAGCTAATTTCAATATACCCTAAAACTCAAACTACAACATTCCCTCTTACAGTAAGGACTTGAAACTACATTTAACCATTTATTTCATGAGCACATTTTCTGTTTGCAAGGTGGCTGGAAGAGAAAATGAGTAAAGCAACAAGATCACTGCTAGCTTTACAACATACGGCAGAAGACAACTGTTGAATTGACTTCCTTATTTCTAGGTTGAATATAAATGCTGGCACCATCTAACAGTTCTTAGAATGAACTACACATGCCAGAGTACTGCTTTTAAAAATCATAGACTATATAACTTGCATGCATTGGTTTCTTAACAATGACTGGCTTCCAATACTTATAAAAGACTTGACAGTAGATATCCTGTTTCCTTCCGATGTTGGAACACTTAAAATAATCCCAAACTAAGTCTGATTTGAGCACTGTCCAGCCAAGTACTTTCAAGACTACTAAAACACTGAACTTCAAAGTTATTCTACAATACACTCAGTAACTTTTCACAGTAGGTCATGCCACCTCACAGCTTTTCAATTTACCAACAGCCACAGGAACTCCAAAGCAAAAATCAATCACTACAGAAATACTGTATACAAAGTCAATGGGCTACTTCAGAAATGCTTTAAGTGTACAGATAAGGACATGGAGAAGTATAAAGAACCAAGCAATGAAAATATCCCTTTCAAGTTAAGGTTGCATCATAAAAGCTTTGATCAGTAAACACACACCAATAGCAAAGATATCAAGAAGAAAAGAGGGCATTTCATTAAATTACATCAACACATACATAGCAGATGTTACTCAGTTTTAAGACTACATATAACAGTCATGAAATAGAACATTTTCAGCTTAAAAAAACCCAACAAAAAAACCCAACAAAAACAAACACGAACTTTGTGCCTTTTATTCCCACTCCAGAATGTGTGTCAAAGATGTTTTGCACAGCTCACCTAGCTGTGCTGCAACAGCGAACAGAATACCTTTACAGCAAAAATGGTCAAAATGTCATTCACTTAAAATCATAGGTATTTACCTTTCATAGAAGAAAACTGAAGACTGTTTATTGCACTTCTTATATCACCTGAACAACCTCTGCAAAGCAACTCCAGAGAAGTTCTATCAAGAGCATAATTCTTTTCTCTGTTCTATGAGGAAAAGCAACATTCAAAGTAGTAAGAAAAAGCAGGAAAGGGAGTATTTGAAAAGCATTCTGGCTGTGGGGACCCACCTCTGATACACACCATAAACAGACTACATGAGTACCCACCATGTGCTCAAACTATGTAATAATGCTAACTTTAAAACATTTAATCGATTTAAGCACATTGCCACATTTTATATAGCAATATTAAAGAGAATAATGCACATAATTCTTTGCAAGGTGTCACTCTATATTAGACTTGGATGCAATCAAAACCAGTTCAGGAATAATACAGGACTTAGGTTCGTGACCTCTTCTGGCCTTGCTGGATACAGTGAAAATTACTTCTATTGCTATTATTTGTTTCATATATATATAGTTTCTGTCATAGGCAGAAGAATTTTCAGAAGTAACTTTGAAGACTTACAACAAGGAGCAAGTGCAACTAATCTTAAAGACCAAGATATCTTTCCAGTTTGTTCCTTGTTTTCTGTTGGGGGGGGTTGGTGGGGTTTTTTGGGGGGTGCGGAGTTCTGCTATCAAAGATCAAACAAATACAAATAACATATTTCAGATATCAAAGTCTGAAATCTTTTGGCCCTGGCACTGCACAGAAGTTATCAGTTTTGACAACTTACCATACTAGCTTCTGTTGCAGCTATTCGATTAAGAACTTTCATCATATTTGTTGGTGCAACAGGCTTGAAACTGTTGAATTTCATTTAAAAAAAAGTAATTAGTTTCTGACTTCTCGTTTATTTCAATCAAGTTCTAATGAGATAAAAATCTTACCTAATATTGGATATACACAACTCCTCTAGAATTTCCATTGGGAATAGTAACCTCTGGTTGCTGTCTCCACTGAAGTTATCTGATATTATAAATATAAGGGGACATCTGCTTGTACGAACAAATCTCCTAAATTGAAAAATAAGCAAGTATAACAAGAATCAAACTCCAGTTTACTGCAAGTGGCTAAAGTTAATCATTAAAAACTTATTTGCAACTGACCTGAGAATTTCATGTAGACTGCTAGGGTCTCGATAGAACTGATTAGGTATGTCCTATTCAAAACAAATGAACTGCTGTCATTACATTCAGATGTATATATTCTTTCCCACAGACTGACTGTTATGGCACACTGCATTGCTACACATTTTTTCTTCCTAGTTAACTTGCTTTCAACTAAATTTGAATGTGGCTAACAGTGAAGATAACCAGGGGAAAAAAACAAAGAAGAAAAATCCCAAAGCATAGTATTTCTTCCTTTTATTATGGAAAAAAAAAAATATGTAAAAAGAAACATTTTCTTTCTGTCCTTGTTTCCCCAAGAAGCAGCCTTGGGTGATTACACTGCCTATTAGACAGAGTTTTACTCAGAGGATAAACAATCCAAGTAGCAGCTCCACTGAGGAAGAGGGCAGGATACACTATTTGAGATATGAGAGGACCTACACAAGGAAGTGGCTTCATGCAGAGAAGTCACAGAAAACTATGCTTCCTAAATTCTACAGTACATCATACTACTCAGCTAGAATTTTTATCTCATCTATTCTTTTTCTTGAAACTTACAGACAACTTGACTACCACAACTTAGAAAATTCCTCTGTCAGAAAAAAAGAAAAGCTCCGAAAGAAAATGCTATTGAAATACACTCCTGAATAAGTAAAAATAAAGTCTTCTCCTGTACCTCCCGTTATGGTTTACAAACCCTCAGAGTTCACATCTCTGCCCTAAATAATGGCTCCCACGTAAGACCAGGGAATGCTAAATTTCTAATGCTTTCTAATTGTATTAATTCTCACGTATCTTCTACATTCTCCTGCATCCTTAACTAACAAGAATAGTGTGAGTTCTTTCCTCTTCCTGTTTATACACATACGTATTTCTAGAAAGCTAATCATACAGAAACATGGGTATGACTTTTCAATATTGTTTTGATGCACTTTTTGATACTCTATTACTTATTTCTGTACACAAACTAATCTCCAATTTCTGCCTATTAGCTTATGTAGTTTAACTACAGGTAGAACTTGGTTCTACCCTGCAGCAGAGACTCAAAAAGTAATAAAGAACTCATCTGCAGTAAAGCAGACTAACTTTTGGCAACACCAATCCACCAACTGAAGCTAGTTAGTATGTCAATATTATAATAAAAGGTATTGTTTTCAAAATAAGATTCCATAAGTTTTCACTTACTTCAATAAGAATAAGCTTTTTATCATTTTCTGAGGACTCCCCAAGCATCTGAAGTTTGCTATACTTATTTGCTCTTAATAGAAAATCTTGAAAGAGAGCTGCTTGGGCCTGACTTGGAAATGTATGAAAATTCGAGTCTGAAAAAGAAAACTAATTAAAAATGTGTATTCTATGTTATACCCAGTAGAATATAAATACCCACAATAATATAATATATAATATTACATATATATTCTA